AGGCCTTTCAGGAGAGGTTACTTCTTTGGCAGGAGACAAAGTTGGTCTCAAAGGAGATTGGCTATGCCGTAGGCTATGGGAAGGAGACTTGATTGGGGATCTGGTCTTTACAGGCGATTTCGGGTTAACACCAGGTACATCATTACTACTGACAAAATAAGGCTTACATGATACATTGAATGGACGGAGATCCCGTCTGTTTCTAACATAAGTCTTGTCTGAACGTTCACTTTGTACAATATAAGACCTAGGCTCATCTCTCTTTCCAACAATTTGACCTTTTACCCATTTGTTTTTGTATTTCATCAAGGCATGTTCATTTACCTGCAAAGGCCTTAAGGGCTTTGCACCTCTATCATAATACTTTTTTTGAGAGTCCTGTCTTAAAATTAAGTTTTTTCTAACATTTTTCTGTACTCTAGGCCTAAGCATTTTTTCTTGACATATCAAAATACCATTAAGTTTCCTACTGAAAAGAATTTCTGCTGGAGAAGGCAGATTACAACTGATTGGCGTATTTCTTAATTCTAAGAGAGCCAAATACAAAACAAGATTTTTAACACTTTGAACAGCTCTTTCTACCATCCCATTTGATTGCGAATAATGAGGACTTGTGCGTACATGTTTGAATTCCCAACACTTTGAGAAATTTTCAAACTCCCTACTGTTAAAACTAGTATCAAAACCAGAAATAACAACTCTAGGAATACCATGTCTGCTAAATACAGATTTCAAACTATTTACAACATAAACACTAGTCATATTTTGCAAGATCACAACCTCAACATATTTAGAAAGATAATCAACAACTAGTAAAAACTTGTTATCTTCAAAAAAGAAAATATCAATGCCTACCTTGTCCCAAGGTAGCTTTGGTACCTTGTGTGGCATCAGAGGTTCCTTTACATTGCTGTTCGCATTCAAAATACATGTTTCACACTTTGATATAACATCTGAGATTTGGGAGTTCATTTGCGGCCAATACATTACATTTTTTGCCCTTAGCTGAGTTTTGGTTACCCCTAGATGTGGATAATGTAACCTTTTGAGCATTTCATTTCTGATTACCCTCGGAATCACTATGCACGGTCCCTTAAACAACAAACCATTACAATAGGTTAAGTCATCTTTAACAGACCAATATTGTCGCACAGATTCTGGAAGCTTACTTTTGTGGTTAGGCCACACATTACCTTTAACAAACTTAAGCAATGTAACAAGTTCACTATCATCAGAAGTATACTCTTTTAACTTAGACATGTTAATAGGATCAACATTCAGGTTTTGAGTTACATAATTAACATGAGCTTCTATGTCATCAGTGTCCAAGTTGAGTTCACTAGTATCGGAGCCATCAAAAGAACGGGACAAAGTATCCGCTATGAAAAGTTCTTTGCCACGTTTATACACTAAATTAATGTCATACTGCTGCAATTTTATTAACATCCGCTGTAGCCTGGGGGGACACGAATCAAGATTCTTCTTGAAAATTGCTACCAGTGGTTTATGGTCCGTTTCCACAGTGATGGTTGATCCAAATATGTACTGATGAAAACGTTCGCAGCCAAACACCACGGCTAAGGAGTTCCTTTTCAATTTGGGAGTAACGTCTCTGCGTTTCATTTAACGCTTTGTTGGCATAGCCTACAGGCAGATTGTCTTGTAGCAGTGCACTACCTAAACCATTTTGAGAGCTATCTACAGTCAGTACAATAGGCTTGTTTACATCAAAGAACTGTAAAACAGGTCTGTTTGTTAACAATGATTTAAGTTTTTCAAAAGCCTTTTGTTGTTCATGTTGCCAACTAAAGATACAATCTTTTTTTAAAATAGAACGTAGAGGTGTTGTGTGCTCGGATAGGTTAGGTATGTACCTATTTACATATGTCACAAGACCTAAAAATCGTTCGAAAGACTTGCGGTCTGTTGGAGGTTCCATACAGGTTATTGCTCTGATTTTACTTTCATCAATGTCAATGCCATTTTGTGTAAATTTATGCCCAAGATACTTAATTTCTGTTGTGCCTATTTTACATTTCTCTTTATTTAGCTTAATATTTTCAACTCTCATTTTGTCTAACACTAACTTTAGTCTCGCATCGTGTTCCGCTTTTGTACGACCCCATAAAATAATATCATCAACGTAAACCTCAACCCCTTCAAATTCATCAAAGATTTGTCTCATTTTTTGCTGGAACACCTCACTAGCAGAGCATATACCGTATGGCAACCTCAGAAATTTGTAGCGACCAAAGGGGGTATTGAATGTGCATAGATCCGAAGACTTGGCGGTTAACTTCACATGCCAAAACCCATTTTTACTGTCAAGAGTACTGAAAAACTTAGCTCCAGCCATTTTGGCGGAAATTTCTTCAAAAGACGGAATTTGGAAATGAGGCCGCATTATTGCAGCGTTAAGATCTTTCGGATCTAGGCACAGTCGCATATCTCCATTGTTCTTAGCAACTATGACTAACGATTGAACCCATTCTGTAGGCTTAACTACTTTCTCAATTATTTCATGTTTGACCAAATTGTCTAGTTTCTTTTTTAATTTAGGTTTTAATGCAAGTGGAACTTTTCTACATGCATGAATAACTGGAAGAGCACCTTCCTTTAACTGAATTTCATGTTCACCTTTTATACATCCAACACCAGACATCAAGTCTGGGTATTCATCAAGAATACAATGAGAAGACTCAGGACCTTCATTTGAGCCTTTATTACCTTTTACATTGTCAACCCTTTTTATGAGGTTCAGTTTGACACAATCGTACAACCCCAAAATGCATGGCGATTTACTATTTACAACAAAAAACTCTACACTATGTACTTCATCTTTGTGTTTAACATCAAGGGAGCATTTACCTACAGTGTCTAAGCCTTGACCTGTGTAAGAGGTTAGCCTAGCTTTGGTTGGCTGAAGTTGTACATTTAGGTTAAGATCATCAAAAACTTTCTTACTTAATATGGAAATATCAGCACCTGAATCAAGCTTAAAACTAACATTTTTATCATTGATCAACAAATCTGAATGCCACTGGCACTTACCATATTTATTTTTGTTAGAGACAACATGTATCTCCCCTACAAAAAAATTATCATAATCTTCACTGGAATCATTAATAACATTCACATATTTACATTCTTATTTTTGCATTTAGTAGCAAAATGATTCAAAACACCACACTTAGCACATTTTTTACCGAATGCAGGGCATTTACCATAAGCATGATTGTAACCACAACGGGAACACACAAACTGAAACTTCTGTTTGTTGTTGTTGATGAAGCCCTTTTTTAGATGAGTCTGCGTCGTCTGCGAGTGCAGCCGTTCTGCTGAAGTCGGTCTGCTACGATTGCGTATGAAGCTGTTTGATCGTGACGTCACATGTTGCCCTTTCTTGCAATCCTTGCTTGCAATTTTGTGCACGTCTATACTTGCCGATCTAGTGTCTGAGCAAATATCTCCTAATTGTTTGCTAGCAGTTTCTGAAGCCCTACATATTTCCAAAGCTTTATTTAAATCTAGGTCTTTAGTTTGCAAAAGTCGGTCTTTCAATGTTCTATTTCTAATACCCAAAATGAGTTTGTCTTTGATTAAACTGTCTGTTAACTGACCAAATTCACATGAGCTAGACAAATCCCTAAGATCAGTTACAAAAGAGTCTATATTTTCATCAAGGTTTTGCTCACGCAAAAAGAAAATATGACGTTCATAAGTTACGTTTTTAGTAGGTATAAAATAATTATCAAACTTAGATATTACAGTCTCTAACTTGTGCTTGTCTTCTCCTGTTGAATACTGAAAATTGTTGTAGATTTTCAGAGCACGATCACCAATGACTGACAGTAAAAGAGCGATTTGATAATCACTAGTCTCTTTTTCACTTTTGCTAGCAACCATGTAGATTTTAAATTTTTGTTTGAAAAACGACCAATTTTCTGACTTATTACCTGACCATGTCAATTCTGATGGTGGGCGTATTGAAGGTGTAGTCGAACTTTGCACGACGATGGACGTTTTTTTCTCCTCTTCTGCTGCTTTCGGCATGATTATAAAGCTTCAACGTCTTGTCTCAATAATAAAAAAATAACTGTATTAAATTCAAACATACTTTTAAGACTCACATAATTAAATTTTACCGGCTGCGCCATGTGATATGGATCGCAGGTCGAGGTTCGTTAAATGATAAACATGTTAACGTTGGCATAGGTTTATTCAAAAGTGACCGAGCACTCAATCTAGGTCTAACGGTACAATTCAAACTCAGTACAGTCCAAGTACAACAACAAGAGTACAGTCTGGGCGAATGATACAAAACTAACATGATATATATAAAAGAACATATTATGACAACAACTAATGTTATGTTTGGATAATTCCATTCAGTAGTTAGCCTACTGACTCACACGAGCGCTCATCCGCTTAAAAAAGCTCACAAAAAGGCCATCACTACTTAACTTCAATTGTTTATTGTGATGATTTTTGGTTTCTCTTAACTTTTTGCAGGATCGTTGGCTGACACAAATTAACTAACAGTAACTCTAGCTTATAAATTGTAATAGTCTCTCAATGGTCCGGCCATTTCCTTAATTCGGCTGCCCTTTGAACCCGGATTACCGAGGTTACTGTACTTTGATTGTTTAAATAATAGAGAAAATAGAGTAATATAGAGTAATAGTACTACAACTTGTTTTAGCTTCTCTTGGAGATACCAAGAGAGCGAGAGCCAAAGCAGAAATTACCTCCGATTTCACTGACCCAAGCCCAGGAGTAAATGGTAAGAGGCAGCGCTACGAAAGGGCCACTTACAACCGTGATGTAGTAAAAAACATGTGTCTTCAATTCTTTATTATTGTTTTGTTGTGTTTGTAAACAAGTCCATTATAATTCAATGTAGTATTGTTCAAGTTATTAAAAACCTTTCTAAAGGTAATACAAGTTCTTTTTAATTCATTCTTACTCTCATTACAATTTTAATAACTTGATATTGAGAAATGGATACGATCCTAAAGCCAGAAAAGTTTAGTGTAGATCCAAACTCATCATCTGCAAGTAAGGGTTGGACACATTGGCACAAAACATTTCAGAATTTTGTTACCAGCATCACACCACAACCATCCGACTCCGATAAACTCAAAATACTTATAAACTTTATTACTCCGGAAATCAACGAGTACATAAGTGAAAGCGGTACGTATAACGATGCTATATCTGTGCTAAGAAGTATCTATGTAAAACCTGTAAATGAAGTATATTCCAGACATAAACTATCTGCACGTCAGCAGCTACCTGAGGAGACTATTGACCAATATCTCCAGGCTTTAAAATTACTAAGTAAGGACTGTCAGTTTAAAGCTGTCACAGCTGAAAAGAATAGGGATGATTATATCCGTGACACATTTATTGCTGGAATAAAATCTTCTGCAATTCGCCAGCGCTTACTAGAAAATGTTTCGTTGACACTAGATCAGGCATATAGTCAAGCCAGATCCCTAGAACTTGCACATGAGCAATCATTAGCTTTTCAATCTTTCCAATCTATAGTAAATGCAACTTCGTCCCAAGAAACTCAAGCGAGCAATCAGAATGTTGATGCAACTTCAAGCAGTTTAGAAAAGTGTTCTCTAGCTGCTGTGACTGAAAAATGTTTCTTTTGCGGTAATCTAAGACATCCTAGGGTCAAATGTCCAGCTAAAAATACAATTTGTCATAACTGTGGTAAACAGGGGCATTTTGCTAAGGTCTGCAGGGCAGGTAAACAACAAACCAAGCAATTGGATAAATCTAAAGAAGTAATGAACTCTATTGACCTAGCAGCTTCGCCCGGTGGGTTAACAAAGAGTACAGTACAAGCCCTAGTTAATGGTAAATCTGTCTCTGCTTTGATAGATACGGGAAGCTCTCTAAGTTTTATAAACAAATCTACTGCTCTTAATTTAGGTATTCCTATAAAACCAGGTAGGGGTACTGTCTCAATGGCTACTACATCAATCACATCCGACATAACAGGTCAGTGCAAAGTAAATCTTGTCATTCTTGATCACTTTTACAAGCAAGTTAATCTTTCATTGTTACCAGATCTTTGTGCAGATATAATTGTTGGACATGATATTTTGAAAAACCATGCAAGTATTAAAGTAGTCTTTGGTGGCAACAAGTCACAACTAACCGTATGTAGCGTGGCAGCCTCAACTGTAGAACCGGTATCTTTGTTTTCTAATTTAAAACCGGAATGTAAGCCAATCGCTATCAAGTATCATCGCCATAGCACCGATGATTTAAAGTTTATTGAAAACGAAGTAAGTAAATTGCTTAAAGACGATGTTATAGAGCCTAGTAAGTCTCCATGGAGGGCTCAAGCATTAGTAGTTACTACTGAAAATCATAGAAAAAGAATGGTCATTGACTACTCCAGGACTATAAATCGTTTTACATTACTGGACGCTTACCCACTACCTAGAATCGATGATATCGTTAACAAAGTTGCAAATTATGAGTTTTTCAGTACTATCGACTTGAAAAGTGCGTACCACCAAGTAAAGATAAGAAATGAAGAAAAGCACTACACAGCTTTTGAGGCCTGTGGTCAACTCTACCAGTTTAAGCGTATCCCGTTTGGGGTCACTAATGGGGTGGCAGCATTCCAACGTGTAATTGACCAAGTCATCCGAACATAACAGTTACAAGACACTTACGCCTATCTTGATGATGTCACAATCTGTGGAAAAACACAAGAACAACACGATATAAACTTAAAAAAGTTTATCGAAGCTGCATCCAAATACAACCTAACGATTAATAATGAGAAGTCTTCATTTTCACTGCGATCAATCAACTTGTTGGGCTATCATATATCAAACAAAACTATCAAGCCTGACCCCAGTCGACTAGATCCTTTGAAAAATTTACCTCCACCCAGAGACACCGCATCACTGAGGAGGACCCTTGGTATGTTTTCACATTATGCATCACTTATACCAGATTATGCTACCAAAGTGATTCCACTTGCACGTACTACATTCCCTTTGTCCAAAGCAGGGCTCCAGTCTTTCGAAACTATAAAAAGTGAAATCATCAGATCTGTAGTAAGCTGCATTGACCCTGAAGCACAGTTCATCGTAGAAACTGATGCATCTGAGAGTACCATTGCTGCTACTTTGACTCAATCAAACCGTCCAGTCGCATTCTTCTCAAGGATACTTTCTCCAGCAGAACATAGACATTCAAGTGTCGAAAAAGAAGCACAAGCTATTGTGGAAGCACTGCGGAAATGGCGTCACTATTTGGTTGGTAAACATTTCAAGCTGATTACTGACCAGAGGTCGGTTTCTTTTATGTTCGATAACAACCGTCATGGCAAAGTGAAAAATGAAAAGATAATGAGGTGGAAACTGGAATTGTCGTGCTTTCATTATGATATTGTATATAGACCCGGTAAAGATAATATGGCTGCAGATGCCCTGACTAGAGTATGTTCTTCAATCCAAAATCAAGAAAAACTGTTGATTGATTTACATGCGAATCTATGTCATCCAGGTGTGACACGTTTGTACCACTGGGTTCGAAGTAAAAACTTGCCCTACTCGATTGATGAAATCAGACGAATAACAAACTCCTGCAATGTGTGTGCTGCTGTGAAACCTAGATTCTTCAAACACAAAGGGATTTTGATTAAAGCCACTTCTGCATTTGAACGGCTAAATATCGATTTCAAAGGCCCGCTGCCTTCATCAAGTCGAAACCGTTACTTACTAGTAATAGTAGACGAGTTTTCACGGTTCCCTTTCGCTTTCCCTTGTTCAGACATGTCATCGTCAACAGTTAAGTCGAAACTAAAAACATTATTTTCTACTTTTGGGGTTCCTAGTTACATACATTCGGACAGAGGAACATCATTTATGAGCCAAGACTTAAAAAGCTACTTGAACTCACTTGGAATCTCAACTAGTAGAACCACTGCGTACAATCCAGCAGGTAATGGGCAAGTTGAAAGGTATAACGGCATTCTATGGAAAACAATTGAACTGGCGTTGAAATCACTTAACTTAGAAATAAACCAATGGGAGACAGTTTTAGAGGATGCCCTCAGCTCAGTGAGATCATTACTTTGCACAGCCACAAATCAAACTCCTCACGAGCGTATGTTCTTACATCCACGTAGATCTGGGAACAATGGTGTTTCAGCTCCTTCATGGCTTCTCAATTCCGGCCCTGTCTACTTGAAGAGATTCAATCGTACGTCCAAGTATGAGCCCCTTGTTGAAGAGGTCCAACTTCTTCACGGGAATGCCGAGTATGCTCATGTTAAGTTGCCTGACGGAAGAGAAACTACCGTGTCTACACGCCATCTTGCTCCGGTTGGTGAGTACCAAACCGACATAGAGCAAACAGATTTTGAGAGTGATGAAAATATTCTATTACCCACTTCTCAACCTGAATCTGAATACTTTCCTAGTCCATCATCAACAGAGAACCAAGAAGATGAAATGAATACTACTGCCGAGAATTTACAACCTAGACAAGAAGCTTCTAGAGGAGAGAACCATAACACATATCCGAGAAGAAGTTTCAGAAGCAGAAGACCTCCTAATTATTTAAATGACTACGTTCATTAACATTAGGGAGGAAGAATGTAGTAAAAAACATGTGTCTTCAATTCTTTATTATTGTTTTGTTGTGTTTGTAAACAAGTCCATTATAATTCAATGTAGTATTGTTAGACGAGTCCCCAAAGGGAAAAATAAATAGATTTGTCGAGAGATAGTTTTCTTCAAAGGGACAACCAATGGCTTCAACATTGTTAACCAAATCCCAGAGAGAGGAGACTGCTGAGGAGACCTGTGAGTACTGGTCAGCTCATCTGGACCAGACAAACCAAAGACCAAATTCTGGACGTCACATCAAGGATAACTAACATAACAAACATCCGAAAGTTAAAAGAAACTGTTTAACCTGTTTAAGCTGTGTAACCTGTTGCAGCCTCATCAATAGCCCTTCATCAAAGTGTTGAGTTAGTACACAGAGTACAATATATGTTGTTATCTAATACTTGCTTTTCACAATACTTTATCAATAAGGAACTAGGTTTGAACTATTGTTGTAATAACACGAATTTAATATTTGGATACAGCAGGATACCCTTTTCACTCTTGTGGTAGAAGATTGCTCCAGTACATATTACAGTACATAGTACATAGCAGTGTAGCCCTTTCTCGTTCATACAAGCGAACATCAAGTAGTTAAATTGCATTTTAGTAATTTATATAATGTTCCAATCAGTTAGATGATACACACTCTAGCCAATTAGAACTTATTCCCCATGAGCATAAAACACAACTTAACCCCCCCCCCCTTCTTAACAAAAAATGTTGATAAAAAATCCTTGGAATAAATTCTTTAAATTTGATCTTTGTTCACTTCAGAAATGGTTAGCTTCTGCTACAGTGGATGGGGAAAAATCAAATGGTTTAACACATGTCTTACCATGAAGATGCTGTTGTAGTTTCTACTTTTGCCTGTAGAAAATGTCCTTAAACTGTTAAATTTGTTACGTAGCTACTTAACAATTTTATGACTAGGCTACAAAAGTTAAGAAATATACAAAATATTAATGTTTCTCTTCAGATGCTAGAGCAAAATCAAATATAAACTATATTAAAGCTGCTCTGAATCGGCTTACTTAAATTGTACAGCAACAAAGAGAGCAGATCAAATAAATTTTAGAAAAGCTAGACACACAAGAATGGTGGACTAGGCCTACAACGTTGGACAGAACTGAAAATATAGCTATAACTGATATTTGGATTTCACCCTCAAATAAGGGCTACTTGAATAATACATGCCATTTCACCACACCGACCCTCCCCTCCCCTCATTCGACTGCCAGACTCCGTCGAGAACACTTCGTGGAGCGCTGATGACGTCTACAACAACCACATCCGACGCCGGAGGGACAGAGCGTGGGCCGCCTTCGTCGACGACAGCACAGGGAATGCACTATCTTGGAGGGACAGCGCGTGGGCCGTCGCTCGAGACTCCTGAGGTGGAAATTGGTGTTCTCTGCCCGATCACCAACAGCGAACGCCTACAAGCCGATCTTCTGTCTACCGTGGCCTCTGAACTCTACGCCAGCCCACCTGTTAATGCTATGGACACGGAAGCAGCCCTGCGCAGCAACTCCATCCCAGAGGACATCCCTCTCGAGGGAAGGAGTTCAGGGCCTGGAGGTAGACCGCTGCTGTGGTAACCCGAGCGGGTAATCAAATGCGGTGTGATACTGCCAATCCTGACGGAGGCCCACACTTAGCTACTGGTGGCGAGGGGGGCAGGTGCCAGGGAAATCCTTGCCAGTCGACCTCAAAAAACGGCCTTAATCTAAGCCATGGAACAGCTGTACTTGGGAAATGGAATATCTCACCACAAACGACTGCTTTCGGATCAAGGACCAGGAGAGATGATCAAGGAGTGGCAGCAACTACATCCCTCGACAGTTTGGACTCAACACCTAGAGAGCCGAAGATCCCACCCGTCTTGATGGACCTGCCAAAGGGCTGGGCACGCCACTCAATCGCGCTTAGCCAAATAGTCTCAGGAGATCTCATCGCCACCTGTACAGCGAGAAGGCTGCGCTTCCAGACGAAGACAGTTGGACACTTCCGGGCTATCCAAACTACCTGATGGACTAGAAACTTCCCTTTCATACTTTCAAATTTGTCCTAAGGTTGTTTGTCTTGTAACTGATAGTGGGTCTAACATGATTTTAGCAGCCAAGATTTTGAACATCAAACATCTTCCATGTTTCGCCCACACGTTAAACCTAGTGGTTTCTGATGGATTAAAGGGTAATGTTGAAATTGAAAATACGTTAAAAAAAGTAAAGGCTATTGTAACACATCTCCGTTCGAATACTTTAGCTGGTGACAAGCTTAGGGAAATGAAGTTTGCTGTGAGGAAAAATAAACTAAACCTAATTAATGCCACTCCTACTAGGTAGAACAGCACATTGTTTATGATCAGAAGAATAATTGATGTTAAAGACTACATTGCTATAAGCTCACATCCTAATTCACCATCTACACTAGCAGCGGAAGATATGTTATTGCTTCAAGATGTGGCGGAGCACTTAACACCTTTTGAGGTTGCTACCGATGTTATTTCTGGCGAGCAATATATCACGGCTTCATTGATTAATCCTTTGGTTGCTGGACTCTACCAACATTTAATGGAAGCAAACCAAAATATATCAAGAGATAAGGGATTACAACTTCTTAATGACTTACAAGCTAAAATTATTGAAAGGTTGTTTTCTTATGAAAACAAGGATGTCACTGCTATAGCTAAATTGATCCCCGTTATTAAAAGCTTGGTTTCAGACGAACAGAAATTGCCAATAGTGCAGATAAAAGGCGTCATGGTGCAGTTACTGCTGAAGAAAGAGTAATAAGAAGCCTACTCTTCCGTCAGCTCCAGCTACATTAATATCAACAGCTATGCCTGACAAGGCTACAGATTCCAATTCCGTAAATTTTCCAAGTTATAATCCTATATTTAATGTTAAACAACCTCTAAATACTTTAACATATTACAAACGTTACCAAAAGGAGAGATCTTAGTTGATGATTTAAACAAGTTATTAGGTGGCAAAATTTAAGTTATAAAGCATCAAAATGGTGAAGCAATAATTAAAGCTAAAGTCAAGCTTATATTCAAAGGGATTTTTCCAAAATTAAATCAACTTAAAGACAACAAATTAACCAAAGGAGAAAGTGAGGATGTTTTCTTTTATGACCACAAAGCTCAAATTACAATAGAAATTACAATACAGCGTAGGTGGGTGCCCACTATGACAGCGTAGTAACTACACACTGTAAAGTGAGCTTTAAAGTCCTAATGTATCAACTCTTGACGCCAACCAGTACGACACGTACTATAGCATTGAAATAATTGATAATTGATAAATTACTTCTACGATATGTTCTGTTTTAGGCGTGTTTAATTTAGGGGCCCCAACCAAAGTCTCGGGTTGGGAACATAAGAGTGAATCTAACGATGGAAGTAGAACGGATTCGCGTTTAACATTATAGCTATTATGGGGGTAAATAGTAAATAGCTATATTTAACACTTATAGATATATATAAAAAAAATTGTTGGCCAGGTGGTGCTTTGTTTTCAGCTTTAATATAGCAGGGTCGTTCTGAAATCAAGTGGAAATTGATGTCCTTCGCTATTTTTCATAACAAATATTACTAAAAACAAACAAAAATACTTAACTTTATATTTATTATAATATATTACTATTGTGAGGTGTAAGATGGATTCAAGTTGATTAATAATGCTAAAAAACACTATTATTGGTGATTATGTCACCTCCATGGGTGTCCCCAGCCTCCTTTGTCCAGAATACTTATTACTATATTTCCAACAATCTTTATTAAAATCAGTTTATTTTTGTTTATTATAAGTAAAAAGCCATAGCAATGCTATTTTGCTATGTAAAAAGTTAATTGAGCGAAGCTCTTATACGCCGACTCTTATGCATTTCGTAATACGCAAACTCCTCCTAGACGGCTGAATCAATCGTTTTCAAATTTTGCATGGTGATAAAGACCATATCGGTGAGTGCCAACATCTATATGGCGTTAAAAAATTCTCTCAGGAATCCGCCCCACTGGGTCTCAAAGTTTCAATGCAATCCTTATGGAAGAAGTATATTTGACAAATAAACAAATGCATATGATCAGCTGTTTTTGAATGCAGTAAATAAAGAAATAGCTGATAGCGTTATTTCATAGATATTAGAACAGAAACGGTATGGATCATAATATAATCAAATGACGACACTAGCTTGAGGTCCGTGACGTAGGACGTGGAGAAGGAAGTAGTAAAGGTTAGCAGTCTGGAGTGTGGAAACTATTTATGACGATTAGGTTAAGGTATATGCATTCCTAAAATTCTACGGGAAGGGATGTAAACAGGTCCACGACGTAGGAAGTGGTGAAGGAAGTAGTCAAGGCGAACTGTCTGGAGTGTGGGACCGGTTTATGACGATTAGATTGAGGCAACTGCAATCCTAAAATGCTATTGGAAGGGATGTAAACAGGTCCACGACGTAGGAAGTGGTGAAGGAAGTAGTCAAGGCGAACTGTCTGGAGTGTAGGACCGGTTTATTACGATTAGATTGAGGCAACTGCAATCCTAAAATGATATTGGAAGGGATGGAAACAGGTCCGTGACGTAGGAAGTGGCGAAGGAAGTTGTAAAGGCAAGCAGTTCGGACTGTGGAAACTGTTTGTGACGATTAGATTAAGGAATCTGCAATCCTAAAATGCAATGGGAAGGGAGGGAAACAGGTCCGCGACGTAGGAAGTGGTGAAGGAAGTAGTCAAGGAAAGCTGTCCGGAGTGTGGAAACTGTTTAGGTCGATTAGATTAAGGTATCTACAATCCTAAAATTCTATGGAAAGGGGTGAAAACAGGTCCACGACGTAGGAAGTGGTGAAGGAAGTAGTCAAGGCACTTTGGAGCTAGTAGTCTGGAGTGTGGGAACTGTTTATGACGATTAGATTGAGGCATCTGCAATCCTAAAATGCTATTGGAAGGGAAGGAACCAGGTCCG